ATTGATTAGAAGGAAAATCATTTCAGCCTGCTGTACATAAACTCTATGCCAGAACAAGTCACTTGCAGAATGGCAAAGCAACTATCCTTGACATATGCAGGAGGCAAAGTAAGTACTTTGGTTGTGTAATCAAGTTATGGGCATTATGCCTTTTTTAAACAAGTATTCATCAACCCTTAGATTACCCACATTATGACAATAAGCCTGTGTAATAGCTCTACTGGAGTCAGGAAAGAATGCCTCAGACAAAGTATTTTAGGCCAGTATCACTCCTATGCCACCTCTATACAACTTTATGAATGCTAATTTTCAATTGCTTCACTTTGTATCTAACAGGATCTAATACCAAAACAAGCCTGCTTTAGGTCAGGAAAGTCCTGCACCAGCAAACTACTAACCATCCCCCAGTACACAGAAGATGAATTCAAGAAAGGGATGATAACCAATGGTTATCAGTTGTATATAATCAGCTACCAAAACCTGCTGACCAAAAAGTCTATCATAGAATGACTACCACCTAGAGCAGCTCATCTGACTTTCTGGAGAAGAGACTTTTTATGTAAAACTGTAAAAAATGGAGCCACCTGAGACCACACAACTGCCTCCCATAGGACAGTGGGCTAGCACCAAACTTCAGCCAGCCCATACAGAGCAATAGGAGAATCTTCATAGAGGCCAGTGATCTCAGACGCATCATGTCTCAGAAGGAGGACTTTGCCACTGTCTAGACTACGAGCACCATCTCAACTCACTACATCAAGAACCAGCTGCACACCAACCCAACCAAGACAAAAGTGATGGCTGTTCACCTATGCTACCCAGAAGCAAAGTGGAAACTACCCATCAAGTGGAATGAAATACCACTGATTAATCATCTGAATCCTCTCTACCTGGAGATGACCTAGGACCAAACACTTTCCTTCAAAGCACATATAGAAAAGATGAAAGGAAAAAAGTTAGTGTCTGTAACAACATCCTTCAAAAGCTAGTCATCTCACTGTGGGGAAGCTAATCCAGAGACTTTGCAAACCACTGCTGCTACCACATGCTACTCCATAGTACACTATATGGGAACAGTCCATTCATGCTAAGAAACTATATTCTGTTCAAACTGCCAACTGTCACATAACAGATAGTCTAAAGCCAAAGGCCAAAGAATAGCCTGGACTAACTGGCTGGCATTGCACCACCACGTAGCAAAAGGAAGGGAGCAGGCTAAAGAAAAGATCACCACAATTGAAAGATACAAGTGTACAAAGGCCTGACCATGGAAAGGAGCCACTCTCAATCTGGGTCCCCAATAAGTACTTTATTATATACCGTTCGTATTCCCTCCTTCAATGTGCCCTTAATTCATCAACTTAATATACCGGTTCAATATCAATTACATAGTTGAAGTCCCCGACAACTGCAGAGTCAATATCGCTGTGTGCTAATAGTTCCCAAATTGCCAAGCCCTGGAGGCAGGGGAAGGGGACCTGGGCCTCTCTCCTGGGTCCCGACCCAGGGCCCTAAGGCAGGGATGCCAGTCCCTGACCAGCAGACAGGGTTGTGGTCCCCAAACACACTTGCTCACGGATTCCACGGCCCTGCCCTGGGCCACTTCCTCCCCCGCCACCTATAACTTTGCACCAGCGGTGCGTGGGGAACTCTCACTTCCCCCTCTCCCTGCCCCCAGGTCCAAGCTCCATTTTAAGTTCCCCGCCGAGTCGGCAGGCGACATTATCCATCGGCGCCACTTTTCCCCTACCAAGTGCACCGGCGGCTCGGGTGTAGGTTTCTCTGCCCGTGAGTCTCCAGCTGCCAGGCAGCCCCTGCAATCCCCCCCTCCCCCCCGGTGGACCTTCCTAGAGCTCCCCTAGAGTGCAGGGTTCCTTCACCCCACTACAACAAGGCATCCATTAGATGGTCACATAAGAGTAACCAAATATCTTAAAAATCACAAGGAGTTACGACAACAGTTATGCCTTTAGATAAAACAGCTACAAAGGTACAGCTGTGGTTATGGCATGAAAGACTGTACACCAATGTCCCCTTTAATTTTTTCCATCCATGTGCAGAATGAGTTTTGTTATGTGCACCAAGGCATATGCAGATGTGTACCACTAGCAGAAATAAGTGCTGCTGACTCTGGGCATCTGCCAGTCAGCCAGACAGTATTTGAATCTCTCTTGAGCGGCTGTCCAAGTGCTCAGCTCACAGGAACACTGCTGCACACAGTCACACACACACAAACAAATTCGGAACCACAGGAGAACCTTCCTAGAGGGGATGATAAAGGGTGTTCAACGTGGTGATGCCTGAACAGCCTATGTACACAAACTGGCAGATCAAAGACTAACATGATCAAATGGGGCTGCTTTAATAATACAGACATATGCACGTGTAGTGAAATGCAAACCAAAGAGCACCTGCTTGATTGATGACTTCTTGGGGAGACCGACACAAAAGGAGAACTTCACTGTAGTGATGGAAACAGCCATCATATGTGCATGGCTCTGGAAAAACATCTAGGCGGTGTCTAGACTGGCAAGTTTTTCTGCAAAAGCAGCTGCTTTTGTGGAAAAAACTTGCCAGCTGTCTACACTGGCCGCTTGAATTTCCTTTTCGCGATCGGGGCTTTTTTGTGCAAAACAAATCTGAGCTGTCTACACTGGCCCTTTTGCGCAAAGCTTTGCGCAAAAGGGCCAGTGTAGACAGCTCAGATTTGTTTTGCACAAAAAAGCCCCGATCGCGAAAAATGGTGATTGGGGCTTTTTTGCAGAAAAGCACATCTAGATTGGCATGGATGCTTTTTCCGCAAAAGCACTTTTTGCAGAAGAGTGTCCATGCCAATCTAGACGCTCTTTTCCGCAAATGCTTTTAATGGAAAACTTTTCTGTTAAAAGCATTTGCGGAAAGTCATGCCAGTCTATGATAATACAAGAAATTACTTTATAATTCCACTTTTGTTTCTCTTTTTCCCTTTGCCTCCCACCTATTCTCTTATATTCATTGTACATTATTACTTTACTGCTTGGTCCGCCATTTTTCCTGGCTCTTTTCCCCTACCTCCATATGCTACCCTACCAACTGATTATCTTCTCCCCTACACATTTCTCTACTGCTGGCAGCTCCTACCACTGACAATGGCTGTTTCCTTTCCTCTTCCTGTCAAAAGAGTAGCTTGGCAGAGACAGGCTGGTTTTATACAGTTTTTAAAAGTTTAAGTATCTATTTAAAAAGGTGCTCTTAGGACACCATGATCTGCCAACACCACAAGTAGTGGTCTTCAGACCACAGTAAGAACTGATGTTTTACACTATTTGTGCTTTCTTACAGCATCAGACTTAATCTTTCTTAATTTGAAATTTGTCATGCTAGCTAAACTGTTACTTGGCAATGTGTTTCCAAACACAGTGCCACTACAAATTGCAAATACTAGCCCTTTCTTTGAATTAAAGATACTGGGTATGTTTTCCCAATAACTTTTGAGGCATAAAGTCTCACAAAATCATTTTAGAGAAAGCTTGATGAAATACTCCAGAGGCCTGTCTACACAAACCTGAACCAAAATAATTAAACTGTTAATTCAAGTGCCATGATATGTCAGTGCAAGTCTGTGTGTGGACACTTACTTTGATTCAAGAAAGCGCTGTTTCAATGCTGCTTAAGTAGAAAACTACTGAAGCTATCAAATTAGGAATTTTCCCAAGACAGGTTTCCAAAAATAAAGTTCTCAGTTCAAGAACAGCAGAAATGCTTCCATGACTACAAAATTTCAATAACAGGACGTACTGTATATATTTCCATCTTTGCTTTGCTATTTCACTATCCATTCCAAGAACAAACAGTCCCCCTTCTATGTTTACAAGTGAATCAACTGCAGTGTTGACTAATCAAGAAGAACCAGTGTTAAGCAGACAAATTGCAAAACCAACTACTCTGTCTATATAGTCCAAGGGAAAAAAGATAACAAATAGTACACATATGAAATGAATTATATTGCTTCACTTTCACGGTTGCAAAACCGTGAGAATTCCCCCCCACTGATGAACAGTTAAGTTAATAGAGTAATTGCATTCACTTAAAAATGACTAAACTAGATTTAGATGTCTAACTAGGCAGTTAGTCTCTTATTTCACTTCCTTTGACAGCACCTTGAGTTTCCCCATATACACCCCATTTGCATGGATATTTTAATACACCAATCGTATAACTACAAAACCGAAAAAAAAAACCTTTAAAGAAAAAATGATGGCAAAGCCCTAAAAACTGATAGGACAACTCAAAGCCATATGCATCATAAAAATAGCATAACTCCTTTTTATAGTAAAAAAAAAAAAAATAGTATAACTCCTCTGCTGTTGGTCCCTAGGAATATACAGAAACAAAAGCAGAAGGTGCTACTGCTTTAGGATACTGGAAATAGGAAGAGAACCGAAAAGGTAAAGGTGCTAAACAGACTCACAAAGAACCATTCTATCCTCTTAACACATACACCTTGTGATCACATAAAGGACCTTTTCTAAAGGGAAAAACTTAAACAACAAATAGTGTGGTAGCACTTTATAGACTAACAAAACATGTAGATGGTATCATGAGTTTTAGTGGACACAGCCCACTTCTTCAGATGACCAGTGTTGGAAAGGTTTGTGTGTGAAGCTCTATAAGGGGTTCATTAAGAACCCTTCTATTACTAGTGTGCACCTAGGTTAGCTGAAACCCTCAACCACTCTCCCCCTCCCCGACTACACGGATAGGCTTCCCTCATCTCCCAGAACTCAGTGCTTTGCACTTAGCCTAAGCCCCCCAGGTATTCCAAGGGAACTGGTTTAGCACAACGCTAGTGTAAACTAGAGGCAAAACTGAGAAGAACCAGTCACCAGGCGTGGCTTGGACACACTGACCCACGTGGATTTGATCCCGTGCAGTGCGGCCCTCCCTGGGTTCTCCTGCAGGCAGCGCCCAAGACAAAGGACTTTGGGGGAGGCAGGGCCGGGACCTGGGCGGACACTCACCGGTCTCCAGCGCCTGGTTGTATTTCTCCAGCGCAGCCGGCAACTCCTGCCCGTCCCGCAGCTCGTCCCCCCCGGCGCGGAGCCG